TTACTCTTTTGCCAAAAAAACGTTATTCAAAATTTTCTTCTCAAAAAAGTTTTAATATTTGTATAAGGATGAGTAAGAAATATTCAGAGATATGTAAAAATATTGATTTTGATTTTCAGACAAATTTTAGAATGGACCAATATACGCCATCTTTGAACTTGATTTAAGTTACTCCCTTCGAGAGTTATCGTGCCCACTAGCTAGACAGACGGACGGGCATTTGTAAATTGACTCCATATACCAATATTACGATGATGCACATTTTTGACATAGCAAAGTGTATGTGATTTTCAATAGCTTCAATAATCATGGCATAAACTTTAAAACTTTCAAACGAAGATAGGACTGAAATCTTCAAAGTACATAACAATGAATCATTGGATTTCCACATTTTAGACCGATTAATAATCTCTTATGGGCTTTCCGATAAAAATCGTGAGCATTGTTTTATGACATTAAAATATTTAATTTAAAGATGCTATAATATTGGACATTAATACAACACTTTCTTATCACACTTCTCGAACTACAATCATGCTTTCTGACTAAACAATTAACTTCAAAATTCTATGTGCTCCTGTAAAGCACGTTTATCGTTTCTCTAGATTCCAATTCAATTTCTCAGATTTGTATGGTTGTACAAAATCACAATAGCCGGTACTTTAAATTGTACTCATTAGCCAATATCTGTCATCTCTGGCAGCTACGAATGGTTTACTCATATTGTCGCTTGGTCGGAAGACCAGTCAAACCAGCAATATCACTCTGAGAGACCTCAAACATCCAACAACCATCACATAAACGATGGCTGTATTTCTTCGTATATTATTGTATTTCGTGGGCTTTGCTCCGCTACAGCGGAATACGTACAACAGTCGACGCTATGACACCATACGCCACGCTTAAATAACCGGTAATATGTCCCACAATTCTAAACCATTGTCGATGTCGTCGTCGAATTATCAAAACTTTTACAAAATTGTTCAGCACAGAGTATGGCATTCGAGCGGCGAGCATTAAGTGAAAAACAAAAAAGAAAAATGTAACAATAATACTAATCTCTGATACAAGTGAAGATTTAAAATTATTCTCATTTCAATTAGCAAATATCGCGTAAAAGTGAATGTGTCATCCAATCCATGTCATTCGGCACAGCTCTTGAATTACACCAAAGACGAGACACACCCGCGGACACTGCCATAGATATGTGGTCGCCATAAATGAAGATAAGCGCAAAATAAAAGCTAATAATAAATTAAAACATCAACTGGTTGATTCGTCATTACCCACAATTCAGAAACTGCTGAAAGAAACCGAGAAAAAAACACCCTCTTTGTTTAGTGCAATACGTGTTTATATCCGAAAAAAATATCATTCTCGGTGCAAACAAACTTATCTGTATGCCGGATTGTGAATTGTAAATCGTTGAAATATTTGTCTTACTAAATACTGTAGAAAATAAAAAGACCGTGTGTTTGTTTACTTTTCCGCAGTTTGTGCAACGAAAACAAAAAATTGAATTTGAAGAAAGGCGATTATTTGAGAGCGCCATAAAGAATCCTCCCTTTCTTGTAGTCAACTACCTCAGACAAGTGTTTCGAAATATAAACATGAAATTGTTATTGAAGGTCAATTCACAGCGAACTCGTCAGCGTCTCAATCAGTATGGTTCCTATAGTTCAACAGCAGATTCACCCTCGAAACCTGGCAAAAGTAAGTAGGAGGACAAAACACACCAACTATATCCAGAAAACAAATTCAAAAACAAACAACAAAAGATTCTCAAGTTGATATAGATTTGACGTTAAAAAGAGAAACAATTGACGGTAAAGTCCTCATGTTGGATTTTGAAAACCTAACGTTTTCATATTTACTAACTATTGGGGGTTTGAATTCAACAATTTTAAATTAAGAATACAATGGATCTAACGGACAAATTATTCTGTTTTACTTATAGCGATAATAATGATTAAAATTTACGTTTTGTATCTAATTCATCAATAAACTGTGGCCAATATGTTTTTAGGGACATCCCATTATCTGTTTCAAAAAATTGATTTTTTTTATTTTATTCGAGCCTACACCAATTCAATAATGTCCCTATACAATTTCTTAGCAACTCTTTAAGATACAGCCGATTTTTGTGTTAGCATCAAGTGAAGGCAAGGGCGATTCTCAGATTTTAAGCCCGTTTTTCTGGAAATAGTGTTTTTACAATCGCTTCGAAAATTTGACACGTTTCTACTATCGTATGAACTAGGACGAATCGACTCGGTGAAGATCTTCTTCATCATACCATTCACCACACTGTGGTACAGGGTAGTATGTCTTTGTGCATATGTTTGTAACAGACAAAAGGAAACGAGATGTACACATGGTTCCTTTTGGGAATATGCATAGAATCACTTTCTGAGTCGATTTATGCATGTCCGTCCGTCCGTCTGTAAATGTTATATGGTAAACAAAGTACAGGTCGCATTTATGATCCGATTTAGATGGAATTTTGGCACAGCTCATTATTTTGGCCTTAAAGACAAAACAAATTTTTTTCCTAATTGAAAGAAATCGGTTCAGATTTACATATAGCTCTCATATATATTTTCGTTCGATTTAATGTAAATGGTGCACCAAAGAGTGAATTTTAAGCCGATTGTCACAAAATTTTGCACGACGTACTGAAGTTAGGATAGCCTAACGCGTGTCAAGTTTTATTGAAATCGGTTCAGATTTATATCTAGGTTCCATATATAATATTTTCGTCCCATTGTACAAAAACGAATCTAAATCTGCCCCCAATGACATGTAATTTGGCAATATGTTACCGAACATGTGTGTAGGTTGATGCACCAAAGAAAATCACGCTCAAAAACCCCAAAATACCGAAAATTGGGATGTACCGTTATTTGTGGCTACCAGTGGAGACATTTGATACGCAATAATAACCCAATCTACTTTAGCGAATTTACTTGGGAGTACCCTTATATGCCAATGTTTGGGCCGATATAGCTCATCTTCGAAATTGACAAGACAAAAGACAACTCTATGCAAAACTTTGGCGATCTATCCCAATTCGTTTGGGGGCTATAGTAATTACAACAGAAATACCGACATGCTTAAATCGTCATAGAATTTTACGCTGATCAAAAATAAATACGTTATAGGGTTGGAAATGATTATTTCGATCGTCGGTTCACATATAGATAAATATTATATTTTTAATGTCGTCCACATTCATGTTGATGGTCCTTCAAAAATGCGAGGTCTGTTAGGATGCATCACTTGAATATAGCCAAAATGGTAAAGGGTATCATATAGTTGACTCCGTCCGACTTTACTTATTTCCTTACTGGTCATATTTTTAAAAAATTATAAATCTCAAATTTTTCATAGAACGTAAATAAGGGATAGATATGGACAACAAAATTTATCTAACCCGCCATATGTACTCAGATCTGGCTGAGCTCAATATGAAGTCGTATTTGGTGTAATGTGTACATGAACATTTGTATACAAGATTTCAAGAATCTTCAAAAATTGTCATTAAACTTTAAATTTGTATTTTTTACAAAATATTATACAAATACGTCAAATCCATATCTCCAAGCGATCTGAACACGTAACTAAAAAAAAATGTTCTTAAATATTTCATATTGTCATTTAAAATGCAAACGGACGTTACTACAGCAAATTCGAAATTTGGGTTCTCAACAAACCAAAAATACGTTATGTCATAGTTAAATCTCTTCAACTATGAACATTCATAACATTCATATAACATTCATATAAATACACGTGCTTAACTTTTGGGTGACTATTTAATTAATTTTGAAACGCTGCATTAAATGTGTGTTTTTTTTCTGAAAAAGTTATTTTAATAGCCTCTGTGAAGATTATCCCTAAAAATGGGAAAATTGAGTTGCGAGTTTCTAGTCCGAATATGCACTAGCTTGGATTATTTTTTGCTAATGCTCCCATATAACGGTACCTCCGATTTTCGATATTTTTAGCATTCTTGACACGATTTTCAACGTAATTGGCTTTAGTTTGATATTTTGGATAACCATTAGCTATCAAATCTGCCTGTCAAAAATGATTAATAATCGTCAGGTTTTAATGGTAGTCCCCATTTAATAGACCCCCAAATGTTGATACATTGATACATTGATTTTGAACACGTTTTCTTATCGAATTAGCTGTAATTGTGTACGGTGGGTTCTAATTAGGTACCAAATCTTCCTGCTAAAAATAATCAATAACGGTACCCCACAAATTTCGATATATTGACGATTTTGGAAACTTTTAAAGGCGCTTATCAGCCAAAATATGGCTTTTTGGTTTCTTAAGAATAATTTAGTACGCTGTGCCCAATTTCGCACAAATCGAAAGATATATAGGAACTTTGGTGCCCCATTTACAATAAATCAGACGGAAATTTATATGGGAGCTATATCTAAATCTGAACCGATTTTCACGAAACTTAACACACATCATTGTAGACCTAATTCATTACGCTGTGCCAAATTTCGTGTAAATCGAAAGACTCTGGTGCACCATTTATAATAAATCGGACGAAAATATAACATAAATTATAATTAATATAAATTTCATCCAATTCGGATAAAAAAGGCAGCCTGTATTTTGTTTACAATTTAACATGGACAGACAGACGGACGGACGGACATGCATAAATCGACTTAAAAAGTTATTCTATGCATATTCTCAAAAGGAACCATGTGTCTATCTCGTTTCCTTTAGCCTGTTACAAACATATGCGCAAAGACATAATACCCTGTACCATAGTATGGTGAAGGGTATAAAAAATAGGAATTGTATACCTTGATTTTTGGTTTTCTTGATTATTAATCGATTATTTCGACACCTGTCCGCTGATATGAAATTACTAAATAACGAATCATAGATGAACTTGTGGTTTTCCAAATTTAATAAAAAAAAGTGATGCCACTCAAATTATTAACATTTTAGTTTCTCTTCTTTTCCAGGAATAAATCAAACAAGAAATACCTCGAGTACATCCGTGTCACAAAAAATTACAACCACATCGAAACTATTAGTGGCTCTCATTTCACTGGTATTAATTGTGGCTGCAATTATTATTTACGTTGAACTGACACGCAAACCCCCCGAACCGCTGCGGGGCCCAATATTTTTTAGCAACAACTATGAGCACGACACATGTAAGAGAACGACCGCTGATCTGAAATCTTTTATTATTAAATTTATTTAGAGTGATTTAGTTCCGAATTTAGGAAACGGTCATATTGTGGTCGACCGATTGCAGTGGGGCGCCTCGGAATTGGCCAATAAGCTGAAAGTGCCCTTGAAACATCCCATACCGTACGTGTTAATCACCCACATCGGAGTTCAGTCGACATCTTGCTACACCATATATAAATGTTCCATAAAAATGCGCACCATTCAAGACTCGGCCATTGCCGAAAAAGGCCTCCCGGATATACAATCTAATTTTTATGTAAGTATAATAGCTGTGTTGAGTGCTGTCGTATTGATTGACAACCGAATTTGCACAAACCAAATCTTCAAACAATAAAGTGCACAGCACTTTTAAATCTACATGTATCGGAATTTGGCGACTTATCTAGTCACGTGCGTATTGACTATTAACGACGGTCGGTTGTGTCTTTTCAGGTTGGCTCCGATGGTTATGTCTACGTCGGTCGTGGCTGGAACTGGGCAAACACATATGCCAACAGTTCATTGGCGATCACTTTCATGGGCGACTATGGACGCTACGAACCGAACGAGAAACAGGTGGAGGCTACACAGTACTTGTTGGCATACGGCCTGACCAATAAATTCATTGACTTGAATTATAAATTAGTGGCTCAAAATCAGGTAAGACAGCAAGAAATAATTAACATGGGTTTTCTTTCAAATGACTTGCTTTGTTGTAGACAAAACAAACGAAGAGCCCCGGAGCCAATGCATACCGCATCATTAAGAAGTGGCCGCATTTCTATCCCTGCGGCATGGACGATAATCCAAAATGTGGCAGTGAACTGGGATTACCTTATCCATGGGACGCTCAAATGTGAATTCATTTATTTTTCCAGCTCTCTTTTTTTACTCTTCATCTCTAACATTCGATACATCTCCCTCTCACACACAAACACAAAATATTGTTGTAGTTTTAAGCGTTGTGAATATAAGAATAAATATGTTTAATTATTTTTGGACGAAACGGAGAAGTATTCAATTGCTGTGTGAGATCTGCATATGGTAGTATTAGTAATACAAATGAAATGAGCATGTAAGTATAGAAATAACACTTGCACACAGATATATTACAGGGACAAGAAAATAAGTGAACTCTAAATGTGAGTCTAAGTAGGTCAACAAATTTACTGGAGCGGGTGTTTTGAAGAATCGATGTTAACTCCAATATTAAAATGAAAAAAAAAACGGACTCAAAAAATATTTGTGGTATTTATTTGTCTAGCACATATCTTTCTAGTTTAATAACACTGTGCAACAAAATTTGGGTATTAAATTGTGTGCTCATGAACGATGAAAACGTGCGAATATCGATTTCATGTCTTTGGGGGCTTTAAAATAAAAAATCACGTCTTGTGGTATACAGATTGCGGCCCAAGAAAATAAGGATCAAATAGAGGAACAAGGACTCGATAGGAATTTACAAAAATATTTCCTATTTGATTGATTCAATACATTGGATCTAAAAACTAACCTATATAAACGCAAAGAATGATATAAAGGCATTTCTTCATGGACGTTAGGGTAAAGAGCAAAAACTTCATCTCGCCATAACTAAAAAATGTTGACTATAGCAAATTTGTCCTCCTAAGTTCTTAATATACCCGCCAAGGGTATAAGGATTTTGTGTCACAGTATAATGAAAATGCGAATACTTATCATTAAATGCGATTTTATTGTTTTTTAAGTATTCTCCAGGATGATTTTTATGAGGTCAAACAAATTGTATGAAAAATTAAAAAAATCTTAAGTTTTTTTTTTTTTGAAGAAATTCGATTACAACCAAAAATAGCCACTGTTTGATGTGCTCTTTGGCCTTATTTTTCGAAAACGACGATGGAACGACTTTCAATTCGGAGTGTTATGGTCATATGATGCCGACTATTTTTTTTTTTTTTTTTGGCTGTTGTTGAAGAATGAAACTTGGAGAGTATGTGGTTTTAACAAGTTTCACATGCCACACAACTCGAGCAAATATGGCTTTATTGCAAGAGACATTTTCTTGTCGAGTAATTTCTCGTCCTGGCGATATCAACGGGCCCCCAAGATCATACGATAAACAGTCTAATGGTGTCAATATTATGCTTTTTATGGGTCGCGAAAGATCGTGTTTATGCAAATAAACCTTCATCTCGTGAGCTCTAAAAAAAATCAACATTCGTCAAGTTATAGCTAATATACAGCCCACTTAGTGGCAAAAAGTGGTCGAAAAATACAGCTTCCACTTCCACTGAATAGAAAACTACATAGTCCCTTACGTCAGAATGGCACGTTTAGATCCCAGTAGATGGGAAACATCTGCAGTCAAATCGAATGAGGAATAATTAGGAATAATATCATCCTTCTATATCATATCCTTCGTCCTTAAAAAACGTCACCCATAAAATTTTAGATATGGTCTACATGACAAGAAATCGCTATTCGTTTTTTCAATTTAACCGATTCTTGCTCAGAAATAATTGTAAAACTTAATACATTTTTAATAATTTGTCGATTATGAAAAAGTGTCGAATTCGTCTAAAATATTTACGATTAATTTATCTCAATATGCTAGACATGTTAATGCCATTTATTCGCGGAAGACATATCCCTAAAGCAATTTTTTTTACCGAATTTTCAATTTTATTAAACCAGTTCGAAAGCTACATATATTGCTAATCACATATAATAAATTGTATTGTAAATCTTGGTCAACAGTTTAATACAACTTTATATTGTCCAACCTTCAGAAGTTATGTCCGGCTGGGATTTGAGCCCTAGTTCCTATAACATCTCTCAAATGTTGTCGGGCACCTAGGCACCTCTTTATCATACGAAGGTTTAAAAATATACAGTTGTATTCCATGGAAGAAAAATATTGTAGGTTGTACGGAAACATTTTCTTGACTACAAGAAAAATCTGATCTGAAAAGACAAGTCTTGGTGTTCACTATGTCGAACTTTGATTCGGTTGAATTTACTTTGTAGATGCAATTTCGCAATAAATTCGGTATAAATACAAAATATCAATTAAGGACCTTTGTAAGCCACATTGCCTTATATGTTTGGGGAGCCCTTAACCAACGGTGAAACGCGTCGCATACTGGTGGGGATGTTGTGTCATTCTGGCTTTCTATATCTCGAAAGAGAAATAAATAAAAACTTTGCGTGAATGATCTTCCGCCTTAAAAAGACATACGACTTAAAATATATATTTCTGTTCTAACTAAAATATAAGTTCATAATATAATAATTGAGAAATATAGTTTGTGTTTTCATCCTGTTCTGGTTGGTATGACAAAGGAAGTCACCTTTGTAAACATACAACAATGGTTTGGTCCAAATTCTATAATATTTCCAGCTTGCATTTGTAAGCATTTCCGCTATAATATTTGATTTCCATTAACGCCACATGTATAGTACCATCCACTAAAGATAAATCAAATTTATTTAAGAACGCAACCAATCGGACATCGCACTGTAATTTTATATTTATATACTTATTTTCTATTTTATGGCGAAACATACTAGCTGGCATTAAAGCTTTGTGAAGAATACTTATTACGTGGATTTCATTTTAAATGGAATCTCATTTTCAGAGAATTCATTTACCACCGACATATCATCTCTGGTGATATCTTTATACGTTGGTCGATTATTTATAATGGGTACCTTAAATATATATATATATATATATACTAGCAGACCCGTATCAGAATTGCATCGATTTAGGCTTGGTAAAAATTAACGAATTCATGAAAAATATATTTCAGAAACTATTTACCATTTAATTTAATAAAATTCCGATATAAAAAATACGCATAATATTTTCCTCACGACGGTAAACCTTCATTTACTTATACCCCAATATTTTAAGAAATATTATTGTTGTAAAATATTAAATTATGTCAGTATGTGTGGTATTTCAGTTTATCAATTTGTCGAACTTATTCCACCAAACATTTTTCAGGAGAAAGTCAAGTTTTGATCTAACTACTCTTACCTCAAGAGATAATTTAGTATGGATGGCGTAATTACTATTCCTATTTGGATCACATACAATTCAGACGTCCTTGTGTTACAAAAGGTGTAAACACAACATTCGTTTACTCCAATCTCCGTCTTGTTTATGCCTTTCTCAAAATGTTCTTTGGTAAAACTATTTTCACTGCAATTAAAAACAACCGTAGGAAAATGTGAGTCAAATTGGTGCATTGGTGCAATGGAAACATTTTTCACATCATGAAAAATATATTTGAGGAACAATAAAGGCACACATAAGTTAGACACCTAGAACATCTAATGCGCAATTTTCTCCATGTAGGGTTCAAATTTATATACATACTTCCCGAATATAAGAACATTTTCAATAATACCTTCCATAGCTAGCTAAATTGTTGAGGTATTTGTAATAATTTGTAGCGATTATTGAATATTTTAAATGGACATTTTGGTATATCCTAAACATAACAACGTATGTATATGTAGTGATTTTTTTCACAAATTAGAATACGTTCAAGTTTCAGCTCATGATTCAGATATCGTGTGGGGTATATGCCATATTTTGGTTGTATAACATAGAAAAATTGGCTCGCAATTATTGTGCGTTTTAAAGCCTCTTTATTTTTGGTCCATATTTGGCATAGTCTGATTTTAGGTACTTTGAAAGTAGTAACCAATTGCCTTTAATTCGGTATTTCATGTAGCTTAAGGAACTTCTCTGTAAATTGTTGGTATAGTAATTTATGGTATATGTCTCACATAAAGGTAGGCAAATCGATCCAGCCCTTCTTCAAAATATGTTTTTCAAGATCTTCGCCTATTTTTCTCAAAATTTTCTTTCATAAAAACCTTCCCACTTCAATTACAGATAACAGAAAGAAATTTTAAGTCAAATTGGTCCCGCTGTTCTCAATTGATGTGTTGCTATACATTTTTTACATCATTCTTATAATCTTTTTTCGTTTGACTCCCACGCGTTTTTAACGAAAACATGTTATGTATGAATTAGTGTCGGAACACTTAACGTGTATTAAGCACCCAATCTCTAATCGGACAAAACGCAAAGAAATTATATAGCGCGCCATCTGTCGGACGAACTTAAAAACTTTAAATTAAACAGAAACACTCCTCACGCGCCATAGACCATATACATAGAGTTTGGTCAATATCGATGCAGTAGTGCAAAAACACAAAAAGATTAATTCTTGCGTCATCTGTCGACTGAACTTCAAAAAACACAGAAACACTCCTCACGCCGCATATAGCTTGTACATACAATTTCTTTAAAATTGTACATACAATTTGGGTAAAATATCTAGAGTGATCTTTAAATAGTTTTCTTTACATCGGCTCGTAATCAGGTCTATATATGGCGTGTACGCATACTTGTAACAACTATTGGTTTTTGAAAGACGTTGGCTAGTTGTGAACATGTGACAAATTATTGTTCTGGATGGACAAATTATCAGTACATTGGCTTTTGTTTCGTAGACTTCCTCCTCGACGGGTCAACGAAACTGGTATTGTGGGTTTATACTTATTCACTATAAGTGGAAACATTATATTCTTCAGACATATCTCTTAGTGATATTACAATCGTATAATCGCCAACAAGGCTGTTTTTTAATTGCCAACAATGCTTTTTATTAAATCCAACGAGAAGTCAGTATGGTTGTTTGTAACCGTATATATTTTTTTAAATTAAAGCTGCCTCTTAAGAAGAATACTTAAACTTTGCGAAAAATGTAAACTATGATACCTGTTATATATATGGGAAATTACAAAAATCTTTTAAATTCCTTGAAATTGAGGTTTGCAAGTCTATAACTCGCGAAACGTG